TTTTTTTTTTTAACTGAGATTTCTCCTGAATTGCTGTATTTCTCAGTTAGTGAATTGCTATGGTCTCTTCACGAGCCCCTTTACAGGGTTGTTGCTAAGTGCCAGCTGCTAGTGAATACACTAGATTTTTGGGGCAGTGATCACTGGGTAAAGCACAATGGGCACTTGAGGTTACTCACTTACAGCTGCTAACCACCTTGGAGCTGCCTCATTTAAAATTTCAGCCAGCAGGGTAGTTTCTTAGATACAACCTGCCTTTATCTTGTGAGACAATTTGTCTTGTGCAGAGTTCTCTTCCTGTCAAGAGGGTGGTCTTGAAGTGACAAGTGAATTTTAAAGGAGTATTGTGAAATTACTCCTTTGGTTTTCAGCTCTTTTTTTTTTTTTTTTAAGGGGGGGAGGGCTTTCTCCTTTATAGAAGTGTAGTTGACATGCTTAAGTATACTTCTGTTTCTTATTAAATGAACCGTCACTCTGAGCTAAAAAATAGCTTTGGATTCCAAAACCCAGTTGATTAACCATCATTTTCATGCCCTAGAAGTGAGATCTTTTTCAACAATAGTATATTTAATCATGTAATTGATGCTGAATATTAAAACACTTGCTATTTTAAACCTTCTCAGGTATTCCAAACATGTGGTAAACCTGATTTAACCAAGAGATCAACAGATGACTTTTTCCTTGAAGGAAACAGTAGACAAAGAAGAGAAAGTGATGCTGCTTTACCCAGAAAATCTTCAGATGTCACCTTGGAATCGTAAGTGTAGAAATGTTAAGTCTCCTTGTTTGGACCATAAGAATGATTTAGGAGAACAATGAAGTTATGTGATTATCTTAGTCAACATGCTATTTACAAATGCTACAGGATTAAATACAGATGTAAATTAAAGAAGGGTGCAGGGTATCCTAAAAATCCTTCAGGACTTATCATAGGATATCCTATATTTCTTAAACACGAAGGCGCCCTATAAAAGGAACCTTAGGACCCACTGGACCATTTGTCAATCAACTGTCGTGTGATGTAGAACTCTTAGAGTCAAGTCAGCTTGAGCTACAGCTACTCCAAAACCGTGAATAGTGGGTGCATTCCTCAAAATTGTTTTATGTCTTCATCAAAATACAATAATTTTTGAGATTTGTATTTCCTTTCTCCAATGGAAACTGTCTATTTGTGGCGGTAAATTTGAGATCGAAGTAGGTGGTTCGCACATTACCTCATGCCACCATGCTGGTGGAAGTAAACAATAGATATCTCATTAGCTCCTTTTGTTTGTCTACCAGCATTTAAATTTGACCTGCACATGTCAACAGTGAGTGACAAATGAGCCTAGGTCTTCCCAGGGAAAACTTCCTTATATAGCGCGCCTTCATGTTTAATATTGTGAATACAATCAAATAACTGCATGGGTCAGTGAGGTAGACACAAAAATACTCACAAAAGCAATATTAATGACTATTGGATGACACTTGATGGTGATCGAAAGTAATAAATTAATTACTAATTGATACATGTCAATGTAGAGATAGTTCAAATGGATAAAGGGGGTAAGTTTCCATAGAAACCTGTGGTGCTGCATACTGGTAAGGGGTAACAACTGAAGGCAATTTGGTTTTATTGATGAAGTTAAAAATGTAAATTGGCCACTGTAAACAGTTAAAAAGCTGATGGTTTGAACATTAGCCCTTTTGTCAGAGGGAACTGAGGTTGTGTGTGTGTTCATATACAGAAAGTGGAGCTGTACTATTGGTGGGCACATAGTGATGAGAAAAACAAGGATGAATTAGTAGAATGAAAAGCATTAGTTGATAGCTATGGGATTATGAGTGCTGATATGAAAGATAAACTTTTGTTCAAGAGTTTTGTGGCTTTCTGAGCTACCTAAATGTAAGGGAAGACCATAGACTGCTATATGCTGCCCAGAATGATTATGTAGATTAAAATTCTCTAGCTACTGGTTTTGATGCGTCCTTGTCATTCTTTCTACATCACGGAGGTGTTCTCGGGATCTAGTCATCTTCCTGTCTTGTCGATTTATAACTTTTTGCAAGTTATGCAGTAGATGACATTGGCAGAGGTGCATATGAAGAGATCAGTAATCTCATTGGATCATTGGGGTCCCTATATTTTCTCAGCATTGTGAATGAAAGGACAAGTTTTGCATCATGCGTGAGGGCATTTAAAAGTTCTGGGTTTGTCATTAGTTTGAAATGAACTTCTAACCAAAAAGTTGCCTATGTTTTTGTCACATTTGAATGAAGTAAGTGGAGGTTGCAAAAAGGTAGTGCCAGGTTGTGGATTGTTTTGAAGTAAATTAAAGTTTTTAAGAATAATGGATTTAACCGTGCAGTTGTGAGGGTGAAACGTGAGAGAGATCAGGAAGACTTTTAAAAATGTCAGCTTTAAAGTGCTACTGAAACGTAATTTTCATATACGAGATTTTTGCAATAATAGAGTTTGAACGTTGTTTGCAAATGCTGTGTACTTTTTTTGGGCCAACGCATAGCGGAAAGTACATTTTTAACCATTCGAAGTTGACCGGCTGAGATCAAAATTGGCGGCCATCTTG